TTGGTATTGTTCATGCGAATGTTTTGCTTAAAGGATGAGTATTCGGTGGGAAGACCACGAATAACAGCATTCACCACATCACGTTCAGGGATCTCTTCTTTCAAGGCATCGAGATCCGAGAGAATAGTTGCCACATCATCAAGGTATTGTGTCATAGTTTTGGTACCTTTACGAAGAGTGTGGAGTTTGTCCCGAAGCTGATAAACATGAGCGGTGGACACGGAGTTGTACCGTGCGGCCAAAGCATCCCAGAGGGCAGCAGATGTGGTGAAGCCGCGAGCATGTTTGTGAACGGAGGGGCTGATGACCGCTAGGAGGCAGGCGCGGATCTGTGTGTCAACGATGGTCCAGGAGGTATACTCTGGATTAGGGACGGTTTTATCGTTTTTGGAGATAGTTGGCGCCGGGGTTGCTTCATAACCATCAATCCATCCAAGGAGGAGATTAGCTGAAAGAGCTGTCTAGACATTGAGAGACCATGCCGGATAATTTGTTTCGGTGAGTTTTTCTGGGATTAAGTTGTGGAGACTCCGAAGCAAAAGTTTTACTCCGGAGGGTAAGGACGCCAAAGGATCCGACGGGGCTGCCATGATGGGCGGCGGTCGGAAAAAAAGAGAGGCTAGGTTTTTAAGAGCCTTAGCTTTGATACCATAATACAATTTGATAATAACTTGTCTTATTGAATATTGAGAGATATGACCCTATATATAGGGAATACAAGAGTAATCAAAGTACAAGTAGGAAAGGAAAGAATAATCTTAGTAGGAAAGGAAAGAAGTATCCTAATTTAATTATACTTCCTAATACTTCAAATTAAAAAAGTCTTGAGTCTTTTTTAGTATATTTACGTGGCCAGTGGTTAGAAGATTAGCGAATCATGTTGCTCATTTATTAGTTAGGACGCATAATTATGTGTATGATTTTTTGGAGTGGTGTCTATCCCTCCAACATATATTTGTGATGTTCTCCAACTTGACTTTGGACCAGTTTGGAAATAACATTTTTGATTAACGTTAGCATTTAGATAAATTTTTAACGGTACAGATTTATTTCAAAAATGTTAACACTAAATGCTACTCATAGATATCATTTTAAAAACGCTAACGTTATGTTGGAGGGATAGACACCCAAGCAGGCCCGTTATGAATTAATGATAGAAGTCCTATAAAAAAGCATATTTATTTTTATAATTGTTTTTACTCCGTAAAATTTGTATGGTTAAGTTTGTGCAGAAGAATCTAAAATAATATGAACTACATAATATAGAAAAACATTTAAAACAATGTGGAAATACATTTTTTTTCATTAGAAGAGGAAGAGTGTTGACCAAATAATTATTTAATTAAGATGGGAGGTTTGTTTACAAACAAAAATTACATAAAAACTTATTTTCATTTTACAAAAAAAAAAAAGAAAAGAAAATATCCAATAGTGTTACCGCATAAATCCAACATGCATAACAGCATAATTAGACCGTTGAAAATTTGGGCCCCGTTTGGCATCAGCGTTAGAGTTCAGCGTTAGCGTTTTGAAAAAACTATCTGACGGTAGCTTTTAGCGTTAGCGTTTTCAGGGTTAATGTACACCGTTAAAATTTTATCCAAAACGCTAACGCTAATTGAAAACGCTCTTCCCAAACAAGGCCTTGATATATGAAATGTTGGACTCGGTGTAGATTGTAAATTACGCCTCTCTCTCTATCCCATAAAACAAAACTTTACTTTTTTTTAAGTGTTTTATAAACTTAAGGCGAATATTTTCTCACATAATTAATATACTAAATAAAAAATTTAAAAAAATTAAATGCATTTTCATCTAATAACTTATTGCTTATGTGAGAATGTTCATATTTATCACTGTATGAAACTTATGGAGTATTTACCAATACAAGAATATATCCATTTTTCTCGTCTATTTTAAAATAATGTTCTCATTCTCCTTTTTTTAGAGAAAAAAAAGATATGCAGTCTAAAATACACTTATTTTTTTACTTTCTCCGTTACAACAAAATGTTACAATTCATCATTTAAAAATCGTAAAAAATTTGTTTATTTCTCCGTTTTTTTGATTATTTGATAAAATAAAATATCTTTGTCAACTCTTTTTTTAAACAACTTTTAACATGACTTTTAAATATGTAAATTTTATTTTTATTCAAATACCAATCTTCAAACTTTATTTTTATTCTTATACCAATATTCTTGGTAAACATTTTAGGACGGAGGTAGTATCATGAAATGAATGTAAGAAACAAATTAACTTTTTAACATTAATTTTTGGTACTAATTATATATAGAAAGTCTTTTCTCAATATATGTAATATATTTGATATTTTTGTTTACTAGGGGATGGAAGCATGAAAAAAAATGGAAATTGCACCAAGTAAGATAATGATAAAGAATGGTGAGTGACGTGGAGGAAGTCTCTAGATAATTGTGACTTCTATGCAACAAATTTTCTCCTACATTATTTTTTTGTTTCCTTGCCAACTACTACCCCTTTTGTTCGTTTCTTTTCCTTTTTCTTTTTTTGGTTAGACAACAATTTTTTGAATTCCAAATTACAAATAAAATTATAAAATACAAAATGATAAAATACATTATTTTTTTTATTGAATTATGAGATTTAATTTTAAATATAGCTTTAAAATATCACATGCTAATATGAATATTCTCATTTTATTTTAGTAGTTTATATTTAGCACTTCTCTATCTCGTTTTTTTAAACTCGGGTTTCTATAACCTATCACAACGTATGATTACCTCAGCAAGGTATTTCATTCAAAGAAATTGAATATCATAATGTGATTTTAATGACCAAGGTCAGAAGAATTAGAGTGATTTTAATATTCTAGCACTATTTTTTTATATTTAAAATAAGTACGCCCTAACAATTAAAATTATGTACTCCATTATGGGGGATGAAATGTCAAATGTCTCAAATAATTG